TATCATTCATATGGAGTTCTCGGGAGCAGCGCGGCCCTCAAAGCACAAACTGGGAGCAATACGCTCATAGCTAACCCTCGCAGTGAGGGGAGCATTTCTCAGCTCAACCAGAAGGCAACGCTAGATTAGTAGAGCAGTCTAGTAGGGCCCAATGAGAGACCATCAACTGATGCAGCTGAACACAGTCTCATGATCTCGATCCGTCTCGGTCACGTTTAACCAGACCCGAAGTCTTGGCCTCCGTAAACTTCTCGACCACCGTCTCGACGGAAGTGCCAAAAAAGCTCAGAAGGGGAAACTGGCGCATCAAGGAGAAAGCCCTTTTCTCTCATCCCGATATCCGCCAGGTTCACCCACAGATGCCTCTCCATAACCAACACAGCCGCCATAGGTCTGCCAATGGCAGTGGCGGTCTGCTTAGTGGCACGGATATCTGTGGTGCGACGCAACTCAGCCATCTCATCAGGGGATAAGCCCTGGCCTTTATCCAGGTTTTCCAACAGGTCAGCTTGATAAGCCTGAAGCACCGCCATGGTGTGCAATGAAGCTGCAGCCTGACCTGTTGCTGCGTACGCCCTGCCATTCAAACGAAATGTATATCGAAGGGGTTTGGAATGCAGGGAGGGAGCCTTAAGAGAAGATGTCTCACCCACAGAGAGATAACTGGCTAGCATCTCTTCAATAGGGGGCATCTTCTCATAACCGTTCTCACACATCCACTCAGTATCGGCATACAAAATGAAAACGGAGTTTTCCAAGCCTTCTCGATCCCCACGTGGAGATCAGGAAGAAATGGAAGGCTCACTTGAGTTGGAGGGATATGATCAGAAAGATAACACTCATCGAGGCGGCCTCGATGCACCACTTTCTCAACCCGTTTCCACGCCAAATCAAGCCTCGCCGTGGTGCGTTCCATAACCTCAAGCAACTCAGCATATGCAGAGCAGGAGGAATGAGAGGATACAGTCTCAACCTCATCCGACATCTCCTGCTCTTCCTGGCTTGGAGCCAGCAGAGCACTAGCCACTAGATCAGATGATGTAAGAGAAATAGCATCGTCATCCAGCAGTTCACTCTCGTCCACAACTGACGAACGCGAAAGGGAAAGACACTCACTCAGCTCATCAGCCAGGTCCACCTGCGATCCCCATGAGCTCATTTTCCTCCGTGCGTCAGCAGCCGCGGGTCCTGAACCGCGGGGAGCTGATGGAGTGGAGAGTGGAGAGTGGAGCTCCAACGAGAGTGCAGCTTTTTCATTGAAAAACGCTCACAATGCATGCAGATTGCCCTCTCGAGGACATCGCGCGTGCTCTTCACCCAAACAAAAGACGCAAAAATCGTGTGTATCATCAGGTGTCAAATAACGAGGACACGGATTCACACACTTCTTAAATGCCTTACTAGTGCTCGCCATGGTTTAAAGATGAGAGATACGTTCTCTTACCGGAATGCACTCTTCAAACAAAGCAATCATGAAGACGAAGAAGAGGATGACGTGTTATCCTGGCACCCTTTCATACTGTGATCGCGCCGGGTAATGATGTCATAGGCTGTCGCCGGCCAATGTTATTGTCGTTTTTAGATGTATGCTTCAGACACCAGTCACGCTGAAGGCGTTCCCCATAGCGACCCCTAGAGGACGCAGTTCGAAGTTCCCTCGGAAGGGAACATAAGGAGGCGTCTGCTGTCTAATCGCTCTAGCGGTACTTTGATGTCATACACCGATCGATCTGCCCAGCGCCGCTTCAAGTCGAACACACCAACAGTAAACGACATGCCGTGAATGCAGTATAACATGCATTCGCTCATGCATTTCACGTGTTTCACGTGATCCGTACACAGAGATAAGCAGCTCTGGCAGTGTAAAGATGAAAGTTTATTGTTGCTACGAACATGAAAATTGACACGATTAGACAAAATGGCAAATGTCCCGCAAAACACTGGTTGTAAAAACAAAGAATCTGTAACTTGTCCATCTGTTCTGAGAATATGTCCTTTATCTGTGTAAACAGTGCATCGCATCGTATTCATCTGTGCAGAGAAACAGAGCCGACGCACAGCCAAAATAATGTTCTCCCACCAAACATGTGTAGTTTTATTTTTCACCGCTAGAGGGCAGTTTACTGTAACATTACCGTAATAGATTAGTTCACTTCCAGAATAAAAATGTCCTGATAATTTACTTATCCCCCGTGTCATCCAAGATGTTCATGTCTTTCTGTCTTCAGTCGCAAAGAAATTAAGGTTTTTGAGGAAAACGTTCCAGGATTTTTCTCCATAATGGACTTAATGTTGGCCAGTGGGCTGAAGGTCCAAATTGCAGTTTCAATGCAGCATCAAAGGGCTCTCCCAGCTGACGAATAAGGGTCTTATCTAGCAAAACGATCAGTCATTTTCTAAAAAAATAACAAATACACATCTTGCACTAGCTCCGCGATGCGCGTTCACAAATTCACGTTTTACGTAATCATGTTGGAAAGGTCACGCAGCTCTTCGTCTGTGTACTCTGGTTTAAAAAGGTAGGGAAGGGCGAAAAACTCCATCTCAGTTTCTCCTCCAACTTCAAAATCATCCAACATTGTTGTTTTACCTTTTTTTTTTTTGTAAAGGGCATTTGACTTTGCACATTCGCTTTGTAAACACGGGACGGTACTTCTGCACACGTCACGCGTGACCTTTCCGACGTTACTACGTAATGTGTGAAGTCGAGCTAGTGCAAGATGAGCATTTGTTATTAAAAAGTATATAAATGACCGATGGTTTCACTAGATAAAACCCCTATTCATCGGCTGGGATCGTGTAGAGCCCTTTGAATCTGCATTGAAACTGCAATTTGGACCTTCAGCCCATTGGCCACCATTAAGTCCATTATATGGATTTAAGCACCCTCAGCATAAACAGCTTGTTTAATTGTAAGGATCATAATTGATAAGGGGAAAATGGACAAAAATCATGAAGACTGTTTTAAGAGCAAAAGACAATGGACAATGTTTTAAGCACAAAAGACAATGGACTTACAAGTCGACCTCAGAGGGGAAAAAAGTAAACTCAGATTCATAAATTCATATCTGGAGCAAAGTTTATTGGCTCTTGGTAAATGTTCAGCTTAGACAGTAGGAATTTGAGAAATATTGGACTTCACATACAGTAACAGACAAAGAGACAATGATGAGTGTGATTCAGTCATACCCTATGTTATGGGGACAAAATGTCCCCACAAAGATGGCAATATCCAAAATCCTTGTCCTTGTGGAGACATTTATTATTTTTGGTTCCCATGAGGAAACAAGTTTATAAATCGTACAGAATGAAGTGAGGGATAGGGTGGGGGTAAGGGGATAGAAAAAACAGTTTGTACAGTATAAAAACCATTACACCTATGGAGAGTCCTCATAAAACATGAAAACCCAACGTGTGTGTGTGTGTGTCTGTAGAGAGAGAGAGAGAGGAGTGTAAATGTATAAAGTGTTGCTGGTCAGTGTGTGACAGTGTTACAGGACTCTGTTGGGAAACACTAATGCTTTGAGCAACGTTTCTCCTTCTGAGTCTGCATTTCAGCATTAATTCAGAATCTGCTCATATCAACCACATCAGAAATTATTGTGAACTTTCTGATCTGTTACAGTTTTTTCTGAATTGCTAAAACACATTTCTTGAAACCATCACTTATTTTCTCATCACTTCTTTTTCATCACTTATAACTGAGTTAGGTGCAAACAATTGCTTTAAAACCATTTCACCTGCACTCAAAATCAAACAAAGCTTTCAAATCATACACACATTAGTCAATAATATACACACTACAGATCATTCATTAGACACTACATCAAAAAAATGGAGAACACGGTGTTCAGTGCATGCAGTTACAAAAAAACCTGTTTATTGTATTATATTTTGCAATAAACACACACACACACACACACACACACACACGCGAAATACATCACACCTAAGTTTGGTGAATATATATATATATATATATATATATACAGGTGCATCTCAATAAATTAGAATGTCGTGGAAAAGTTCATTTATTTCAGTAATTCAACTCAAAT